GCGTACTGGATGTCATTGATCCTTACGACCAGTACCTCGGGGGAGAGGGACTTGTGAACCGATGGGTACGTGTCGTGATCACAGTAACAAGAATTTAGTGACACCAAGAACACGTGTCTTCATCTTGGAGTATTTTAGAAAAATCTCATCAGTTGGAGGAACCACTTGATGGTAGAGTGTAAGTTAAATGTTGATGGCAGTTGTTTGGGTAATCCTAGCCAATGTGGAGGAGGGGGTGATTAGGGATTCGTTGGGTAATGTCCAACTAACATTTTCGATTGTTTTTGGGGAAGGAACGAACAATAAAATGGAACTTAGAGCAGTAATTTTGGTATTTCTTTGTGCAGAGAGATGGATTATAACTACATTGATATTGAATGTGACTCTTCCCTTGTAGTTTCATGGATATCCTCTCATACGTGTACGGTTTGATATCTATGGGGATGAGTTGATGAATGAGCTCAGCATATTAATTCCACTATTCAACATCAATATAGGGAGGAAAATCAAGTGGCGAATTATTTGGCAAGGCAGGGCTCGGCAGGAGAGATAACCAAGTACTTGAGTAGTGTGCACATGCCTTGACAACTTAAGAGGTATTTTACGGTTGGATAAGCTTGGGTGCCTAGTATGAGGCTCTAATTGTTATGATATGTGCTAATTTGTGTGGGTTTTTGTTGTTTTTTTGGCTTTGTCGATATGTAACCACAGTATTTCTCCGTTACAAGGGTGATCTAATAAATTGTAGATGCACCATTCTCCTCCTTTAAAAAAAAAAAAGAGAGAGAGATCCATTGTCAACCCTAATTAAGTCTTGGTTCATATAAAGGATCTCGATTGGCCATATTAGTCGCATTGTCATTATTTGGGATCAAGCAAAGAACTACAATTAACTAGCATGTATATATTATAGCAATAATTGATTAACCCATTAGGAACTTCAATGACCCTCTAACAAGTAAGGATGTTACTCTGGGATGGATTGGGTTTAGTTGAGTGGTTACATCTTGAATNTTATAGCAATAATTGATTAACCCATTAGGAACTTCAATGACCCTCTAACAAGTAAGGTTGTTACTCTGGGATGGATTGGGTTTAGTTGAGTGGTTACATCTTGAATTTTGTGGGAATTGATTCTGCTCCGACATATAAGCAGCATTAATAATTTGATGTTTCTTGAATAGAGAAAACTACATTATCAAAAAAAAAAAATGAGTAATGCTACGTTAACTAAATTTTGGAACCAAATCAAGAGCTCAAATGACATAACATCTGTATATTTGGAATCTTTATTAGGGCCCAAATGACATGATACCACATAAAAAAGCCCAAGTCAGCTATCATATCATTTGGGCTCTTGATTTGATCTCAAAATTTTGTCNTGACATGATGCCACATAAAAAAGTCCAAGTCAGCTATCATATCATTTGGGCTCTTGATTTAATCTCAAAATTTTGTTAGTGTAGTATTATTGAAACAAATTTGTAGTATCGTTCAAATGTAGGCGAGCTGTATTTGTGATGGTTCCCAAGGATCCAATATAACTATTTAAGTCTATGTAGTCACGATATTGTTCTATAGTTTACAAGTTTTGTGGGCTAAAATGCAAGTTTTTGGATTTGTTTACAACAAAAATGTTTGGATTAATATAAAATTGACTCCAAAAAGATCGTTTGAATTTTAATTTGCACTTTTAAAAATAGAAATATGTATCAATGTACACCTCAAGTTAACAACTGTCAATTTGCAGCCTAAAACTAAATGGATCAGTTATACCTAGACACTCTTATGTTTGTCACTTAATCACTNAAAATGTTTGGATTAATATAAAATTGACTCCAAAAAGATCGTTTGAATTTTAATTTGTACCTTTAAAAATAGAAATATGTATCAATGTACACCTCAAGTTAACAACTGTCAATTTGCAGCCTAAAACTAAATGGATCAATTACACCTAGACACTCTTATGTTTGTCACTTAATCACCTAGACCCCTACATTTAAAATATTACACCTACATCCTTTTAGAATTTAAATATAACTAAAAATGTTTCTTCAATTGGGCATTCAAATAATTATGTTTAAGTGATGTATTGCATTGGATATAAAGAATACTATATAAATACTTGCATTCAAATGGTAAGCTTAATTTTGAACTTTAGAGTATAACGGACCTACAAAATAAAAAGTAGTATGAAAATTATATTTTTTTATTATGATGAAATCATATTTTTTAACGGTTATATTAACAGATATCAACGACAATAAGTTATGTTGCACGTGCACAAATGTTAGAAGATGTATAAGTAATATTCTAAATGTGAGAAGATCTAAATTCCTCATGATTAAGTTACAAGCATGAGGAATTAAGGAGTAATTTATTCATTTAGTTTTAGACGACAAACTAATGACTGTTAGTTTCAGGTCCACATTGATAAAAAAAATTTATCTTTTAGGGTACAAATTAAAATTTTTTATCTTTAAGGGTATAAATTGAGATCCAAACTATCTTTTAAGATACAATTTGTAATTAATCCAAACTTTTATACAATTTTTAGGGTCATATTATTACTTTTACGGCCCAAAGTTATAATTTTTATGGCTCATGACCTCAGTCCAATCTAAAACTCAAGAATTTAGGGAAAGTCAACGCATATGGGAGAGCAATTATCAAAATAGTCATTACTCAAAAATAGTGTCTATCCCTAATTGTTGTTATTTTCTTCGATAAATTAGTAGTTTGATTTTCACGTCACCGCCACAATTAGAACTTTGTGCCTATAAATTATAAATCTCTTGTTTAGAGGACATACACCTCACATTAAGCGTACTCTTACTCTCTTTCTTATTACCTTGTACTCTCTATTAATAGAGTTCTCCGATCACCGATGTTGCCTTCGGTGGTTAGGTCACTTAAACCCAACTACCCAATCTTTGTCCCTTATTATTAATTGTTTCATTAATTAATTTATACAACATATTCACCTAATTTAATTATGTATAATCAACTTTATGCATCATCAATTTTATCTATCATATTAAGCCCCGAACAAGACACCAACTACATTTATGTTATTTTCTAATGTACAAAGGGCATATTTGACGAGTACAACAATAAAAGACAATCTAATTTATAGGACTCTTGCCGTTTCCTAGTTTAATAATAATTAGATGAATGCAACTCTACTCCAATAAATATATAACCTATTTTTGCAGCTCAAATAGTAATATTTCAATCACAATAGAATAATTTTATCTATTCGTCAAAACCACACAACTGAAGATAATGAAAAGAAAAATCATAAAAGGAACTAAAAAAGGGAAACATATTGGAAGAAAACTGCAATTCTCTTCCACTATTGATTATTTCCCTAGGATGTGGCTAGTAAGTTTATTCATTCTTAGCATCTTCATCTTTGATTTTGTTTTTTTCTCAAGAATTAAAACATTGGATATATTACTGAGTTGGGTAAAATGTCTAATTGATGTTCTTGCTAACTTTTATTACGAGTTCAAAATACAAATATGAAGAAACAAAAAGAAAACCTCTATGGTACAAAAATTTCCCCATCTCCTTATCATAAATGGAAAAACAAAAAAATTATCCTAAGTGGAAACCCGTTCTTGGCGATAATTGAAGCAACGATTTAGTATTATTTTTAGGGTGGATGATATTTTACATGCTAAAATATTTTTAAATTCTCAATTTATAGCATAAAAAATTAAAATTTTCAAATTCACTATCAATCAAATTAAAGGTAGGAATATAGTCGAAAATAATGTTCGTTGACTTTTGTGACAAATTTGCCTTATATTTTTCATATTATCATATTTTTATGCGAATGTGTTTGTATAATACTCAATTTTAAGTGTTTTTAATAAAAAATTATTACTCATCAATTATTTTTTTAAATGGAACACGTGCTACCTTTTTGGTTTGATTGAAGGTGCAATATGTGAATTTCAATCTTTTAGAGTGAAAATAAAGAATGGAAAGATCTTATAGGTTACAAATTGTCATTCCTTGTTTTTAATTTAAGAACTAATTTAGAGATTTAATACTAAAGTGAATTAAATGGTAGAACTCAACACTAATCCAATAATCACAATATATTATGGTTCTTTGTCTTCGTAGTGAACATGGGCGGAGCTAGAAAGGGGCTAGTGCTCACCCTCAATTTCTTTTTTTCTTTTTTTTTGAAACTTTTTTATATGTATAGAGATATATAAGTTTGAATATTATTCAAATTTTTTGTTGTGCCCATCTTATTACTTCTATCTTTAACAATATTTTATGAAAATGTGAGTTGCGATTTATCTACAATTTTATATTTTGTATGTTTTATAGTTTTGGGACTTTCTTTAATTGACTTTGATTACATATTTATGAATTTTTTGAATTTACTTTCTTAATTTAAAAATGAAATTTTTTGAAACCAGTCAACAATTAATCTTTTTTTAATACAACTTACTCGCTTTTGTTTGATAAATTTAAAATGAAGATTAAGAGAATTCAATTGAATAACTGAATGAATATCAATGGATAACTGATAAATTGATTACATATATTGAAAGATATCTTTGATGACTTTAATATATCATTGATTTTTGGGCCTTTTGTGTTTAGTAAATTTTCATGTATCAATATGATATAATAAATGTATTATTTTATTTTATCGATTAAAAGAAAAAAAAAACTAAATCTTGTAATTAAAGTATACACCCAGAAAAAAAATTCTGCCTCTGCCCTGATAGTGAAATGCATTCAGTGGTGAACCCAGTACTAATCCAACTATGACAGCACACACACACACGTAAATATATATATAGATACCACCTGTGTGTGTCGAAATTGAATTTGGGGTTCAATGTGCAAATAAACTATTTCTTATGGTTCAATGTGCAAATAAACTATTTATTTCGGGCGTTAGTATATGCACAGAAGGAATTGCCTTCAAAATTCAGTTGTATTCTTTCCCTCTATGAGTTGGGGGGACCCAATTAATGTCAGTCGTTGGTGAAATTCAGAGTAAAGATAACATAATCCGAACAACTGAAAAGCACCAGAAATATTATTCAATTTTCTGCAGCCACCAAAATCTCAGCCAAAAACCAAACACACAAAATTTGCAGACCAAGAGAGAGAGAGAGAAAGAGAGAGAGAGAGAGAGGTGCAGATGGCAATGGCGACGGCGCTTCGTAGGCTTTCATCTTCCGTCAACAAACCAATCAAGCGTCTTTACAATGGCGGCTCTCTATATTACATGGTTGTTAGCCATAAGCAATTTATCTGATTCATTTTTGTAGTTTAAATCCCGTTGTTTGTGTTTTTAAAGATTGCATATTCATTTGATTTTGTGTTGTAGTCTTCTTTGCCGAACGAAGCTGTGTACGAGAAGGAAAAGTCGCGTGTCACGGTAAGCCTATCAATTGTTCGACACAATTCTTCACTTTCCTCACCCCACCCAGCGTGATTCATTCAATTTTATGATTGTTTTGATTCAATGTTTGTGTATATGTCAATTCTGAATGTGGAATTGTCAATTAATTGCAGTGGCCAAAGCAGTTGAATGCCCCGCTTGAGCTGGTTGATCCTGAAATCTCTGACATTATCGAGCTCGAGAAAGCCAGACAATGGAAGGTACTCACATCCATTGAAAATTTCCCGAGTATGAATTATAAAGTTGCATTTTAACTTGGAACTGGTTATTTTATCTTGATTTTTTCCGTTGTGTTTGTATAGGGCCTTGAGCTAATTCCCTCGGAGAATTTCACATCGGTCTCTGTGATGCAAGCAGTTGGGTCCATAATGACTAACAAATACAGTGAAGGATATCCGGGTGCTAGATACTATGGAGGAAATGAGTATGTGGACTACACTCAGATTTTGTTTCGCTTTTCTATGCTTTATGTGATGTCTGCTGATATCATCAGCATTAGCATATACTTTTAGTTCTTTTCCTAATTTTACCCTTTTTTTAGTAGTTTTCTTTCCCTTAGAGCATTTGCAAGTAGTTCATCCCCTTACTGACATGCTGCTTTTAGGTACATTGACATGGCAGAATCCTTGTGCCAGAAACGTGCTTTGGAAGCATTTCGGTTGGATCCTTCCAAGTGGGGAGGTAATTGCATTTTTTTTATCTATGCAATATTTTTAAGCAGATTCTTTTGGTGTATGCTGAAACATTTGCAAAAAATTTCCTTCTTTTATAAATACAACATGTTGCAGAAGTTTCAATGCCATGTTTCCAAATCCATCAATGATGGAGAGTAAATACTGATAACATTGATAGGCAAGAGGCAGGCAATTGACAGTGCTTAAGAAGTAATCATGTGAATTGTGTAGTCAAACTGCTTACATGTGTAAACTGCAAAAAAAAATAAAAAAAGAAGAGGGTTTGTTTTCTCGTATTGAGGACATATTTGATCCTCTACCAGTGAATATCTGCCTAATTAATCAACTTCTATGATGCAGTCAATGTGCAGCCTCTATCAGGATCTCCAGCTAATTTTCAAGTTTACACTGCACTACTGAAGCCTCATGACAGAATCATGGCACTTGATCTTCCTCATGGTGGGCATCTGTCACATGGCTATCAGGTGCTTTCACCTTCCATTGTGTTTTTCCTGCTAAATAGTTCATGCTATCCTCCTTCTTGGTCATGAACAGTATGCTGTTACTTAATGTGCAACGGTGTACAGGACATTTATACCTTCATAGTTTCAAATGGGGATGATTTTGGATGTTAGTTTCATTGAATTACATGGATATCAATGCAGCCAAGTGTTATCTTGGTTTTTGCATAATATGCTTGCTTTATGTCATCAGCTATAAAATGTTATACTTCAAGCATTGCTTATATATGTTATGAAAACTCTACTGAGCTTCGACGGGAGCGCATTCTGAATAGTAATGCTGCAGTCAAAATAGAACAATTAAAATGTTATGCATGTGTGATTATCTTTAACAGAGATTATAAATACATTCTACTCAGAAATCTTAGAAGGAAACTTTTTTTTTTGATCCCTAGGATTTTGCTAGTGTGAAATATACGAGTGTCTGCATTATGGCGCTTCAGTGAAATTCCAAATACTCAAAACATGGCCATCCAGGATTGGATCTTATTTTTACTGGAGCCAATGTAATAAACTATTTTGAATCTTTAGCTTTCAATTTACCAGGCATCAAAATATTTAGACTAACGTGCTAGGATGAGAATGATCACTAGGCTGCAGTATGTCGTCATAAAAAGGCCTCAGCAACCACAACATTGAAGATCAGCATGAAAAAATTATAAATCGTGTAATGCATAGGATACATACAAAAATGAAAAAGAAACATGCCTTGTTGTGAAGAGCTTTCTATGACAACAACTTTCCACGTTATACATTGCTCATGAGTTCGGATTTCAATGGTCAACTGGTTCATAATTGATGCTACCTTGTTACCTATTCGAGCTAAAAGAAAAGCTTCCCATCAATCGGGGATGTAACATGCATCTCCACTTGCTCCTCTCAAGAGTATTCTATTTCTTCCTCTTCAAAAGAACCCAACACTTCCTCCCTAGTCTTAATAACAATAATCCTCTAGTCAATTAAACACGACAAAGAAGCAACTCCTGGACATTTAAGTTAAAGAAGAGGAAGATTACTCTGCATTAGCCCATCAGTTGTAACTTCTTTTTTAGTTACGGATCCCTTTTGTTTTTATTACGATGACTCAAAATATGGTATGGTATCAGTACGGTTACTTACGATCTATTAAACTCCAATTGATTAAGCTCATATTAGCATATCTTGAGATTTGCCCGGTATATCTTTCATGGAGGTTATCACGTGAAGGGACGTCTGCAAAGTTCAAAAAATATCAGGGGTGGACTTTACTTAAATAGGGTACAGGTCCTTGGGCTGGGTAGTATATGCAGGCTTTCATAATCTTTTTTTTTTTTTTTTTGGGGGGGGGGGGGGGTGGCTTGTGTATGTGTGGTTGGGAGGGCTTAACAACTTCAATGTGCTTGTAACATTGGAAGTGAAGAAAGAGATAAAAATGAGGCTAGTTGTTCAGAGGACTTCAAGTAACTTATTTCTCCATTTGGGAAAATACAATGAACTTGGTGAGCTTTAAATAAAGGTTCCTACTAAAAGAGAGCATTGCAAAGATGCCAATTTCAATGGGTGAGGAAGACACCAACTGTAATAAGAGAACTGAAATTAGCTATATTTTAAGGCCTCCTGTAAAATCTAGAGTAGATCATGGAAAAGTGATTCTACTTCCATAATTCAGAATGCAATAATAACTCTTTGGTGATGCTTTGCATGTGTATTTGAAATATCTGGAAGTTAGTTTTCTTGGGTGACTTGTAGTTGATGCAACAAGTGTGTAGACAGATATATATATTGATTATATTCCCATTGGGTTCATGAGTGTAGTTAATCTATGCATCTTGACAAAATTTATTTGTTTTTGATGTTATTCTCTTCTGATTTTGTCGTAGTAAAATTGAGCTCATGCTTTCTTTTATTTCTACAGACTGACACAAAAAAGATATCTGCAGTCTCCATATTTTTTGAGACCATGCCCTATAGATTGAATGAGAGCACTGGGTATATTGATTATGACCAGGTAGCTTTCTCCTTTTTTTTTATAATCATGTTTTTTTCTGTTTCCCCAATTTGCTAGTTTCTTCATCATAGTTATCAATATATCATCATTGAAAGTTTATTTTTTGGTATATTTTTTCTAGTTTTCCTAAGGTTACTGAATTTGAGAAACAAGGCTACATTCAGGGTAGAGAGTGATCCAAGTTGTGTGAAATAAGTAAAAGTTTAAAATTAAATATTAGCGGAAATACACTGTATAACAAATGGTGCAGAACTAATTGAAAATTTTATGTTATGGCGCTGTGTATAATCAGAGTGTTGTGGAACAATGTGATACACTAAAATGTTTGAGAGTGTATGCAAACTTATGCATGCCATCTGATTCTCCACTTGTTGATAGATGGATCAATGTCTTCAAAACTTTTATACTTTGGATTCTTCTTCCTAAATGAGTCCTCGGGGGATCCTTAAATTATGATAATCTCTTAATTTGTCATTCCCAATGCACAACACTTTTGCCTATAGTGGGTTCTGGGAGAGATAAATGGTAGGCAGTCTTACCCCCATTTTTGTAGAGGTTGTTTCCCGGATCCAAACCAACAATCATTATTAAAATGCCTAGACATACTATGGTCATTGTTGCAAAGTTGGAATATAGCAGATTGAACTGAATGCGGTGATTTTGAAAAGGAGTTAAGATCCGGGGCCACTCAAAAGCATTAATGCATATGTACATGTATACCAGTATTTCCAGCAGCAAAGAGTGAGTTGTTCAGTGGACTTCTATGCCAGCAACCCACCTTAATGCTATGTGATCCATTCCCCTGATGATAGAATCTTGCCTTTTTCCTGAACACACGTGAAATTCCCCACCCCCGCCCCCACCACCAAAGGAAATACAAAAACCAACCCTGGCAAAATAAATCCAAAGGAAAATGAAAAACTAAAAAAGAGGGAAAAGTTCTACCACCGGCTTTAAGTGGTAGATATAATTTGTTACTATCGTATAAATTGGTAATGGGCTGATGGACTCTTTTTCCCCTTCAAATTGTGTTCTCACTGGATTATTCAAGTCATTGTGTTGACAATTTGGAAGCCAAATAGTTTTAGTTTGTTACAAAAGGCGACTACTCCCTGCCTGGTTCTTTATTGAACACATTTGTGACTTGAAATCTATCAAATGGCAGATGGAGAAAAGTGCCACCCTCTTCAGACCAAAATTAATAGTTGCCGGTGCCAGTGCTTATGCACGTCTTTATGATTATGCACGTATTCGTAAGGTAAACTCTGCTAATTTATTCTGTCAATCAATTTGTTTCACATATCTTGTAATAGAGCTTAATTTGACTTCACTTGACATCCTAAAAGCTTCGAGTTTACACTTTTTGTGCATTTCGTAGGTTTGTGACAAGCAGAAAGCTATCATGTTGGCAGATATGGCACACATTAGTGGGCTGGTTGCAGCTGATGTCATCCCATCTCCCTTTGAGTGCGCAGATGTGGTGACCACCACAACCCACAAGTCACTTCGTGGGCCACGTGGTGCCATGATTTTCTTCAGGAAGGGAGTGAAAGAGGTTAACAAACAGGGCCAAGAGGTGAGTTTTCAAATAGCAATTACTATATGATTGCTAACCCTTGCCTCATCTTGCCCTGCCGTTGTCATTTAAATTAGTTCCATTTTTTGCTTCCAGGCAAACATTAGTTGATGTAATCTGGTATAAATAAAAACAAACATTAATGCTTTAATTTTTTTGAAGGTGATGTATGATTATGAAGACAAGATTAATCAGGCTGTCTTTCCCGGACTTCAAGGCGGACCGCACAATCACACAATTACTGGCTTAGCTGTTGCACTGAAGCAGGTTTGACGTTGACATTTCATTGAAATTTTTTCGAAGTGAGATTTTAAATATAAAACCACTCAATGCATTTATATACGGGGAAACAGATTCAGGCTTTGCCCAATTATTAGAATGAACTTTTCTTGGTACAAAAGTCACCAGAGATGCCAAGTGGTCTTTGAAGTGCTCAAACTAGAAAATATAAATTGTTTGATCTAAAGGCAAACCAATTTGTTGATGGTTAATAATCTGAGTAGTTTGAATGGATCATTCTGTAAATGGTAAGTATACAAGACTCTGGCAGGTTAAAATTGACCTAGGCTTTAAGTTCTTTGATTCGGCTTTGACATTCAAGGAACATATTCTTGGATCTAAAAGAGATCTACACGNATCAGAGTGTTGTGGAACAATGTGATACACTAAAATGTTTGAGAGTGTATGCAAACTTATGCATGCCATCTGATTCTCCACTTGTTGATAGATGGATCAATGTCTTCAAAACTTTTATACTTTGGATTCTTCTTCCTAAATGAGTCCTCGGGGGATCCTTAAATTATGATAATCTCTTAATTTGTCATTCCCAATGCACAACACTTTTGCCTATAGTGGGTTCTGGGAGAGATAAATGGTAGGCAGTCTTACCCCCATTTTTGTAGAGGTTGTTTCCCGGATCCAAACCAACAATCATTATTAAAATGCCTAGACATACTATGGTCATTGTTGCAAAGTTGGAATATAGCAGATTGAACTGAATGCGGTGATTTTGAAAAGGAGTTAAGATCCGGGGCCACTCAAAAGCATTAATGCATATGTACATGTATACCAGTATTTCCAGCAGCAAAGAGTGAGTTGTTCAGTGGACTTCTATGCCAGCAACCCACCTTAATGCTATGTGATCCATTCCCCTGATGATAGAATCTTGCCTTTTTCCTGAACACACGTGAAATTCCCCACCCCCGCCCCCACCACCAAAGGAAATACAAAAACCAACCCTGGCAAAATAAATCCAAAGGAAAATGAAAAACTAAAAAAGAGGGAAAAGTTCTACCACCGGCTTTAAGTGGTAGATATAATTTGTTACTATCGTATAAATTGGTAATGGGCTGATGGACTCTTTTTCCCCTTCAAATTGTGTTCTCACTGGATTATTCAAGTCATTGTGTTGACAATTTGGAAGCCAAATAGTTTTAGTTTGTTACAAAAGGCGACTAATCCCTGCCTGGTTCTTTATTGAACACGTTTGTGACTTGAAATCTATCAAATGGCAGATGGAGAAAAGTGCCACCCTCTTCAGACCAAAATTAATAGTTGCCGGTGCCAGTGCTTATGCACGTCTTTATGATTATGCACGTATTCGTAAGGTAAACTCTGCTAATTTATTCTGTCAATCAATTTGTTTCACATATCTTGTAATAGAGCTTAATTTGACTTCACTTGACATCCTAAAAGCTTCGAGTTTACACTTTTTGTGCATTTCGTAGGTTTGTGACAAGCAGAAAGCTATCATGTTGGCAGATATGGCACACATTAGTGGGCTGGTTGCAGCTGATGTCATCCCATCTCCCTTTGAGTGCGCAGATGTGGTGACCACCACAACCCACAAGTCACTTCGTGGGCCACGTGGTGCCATGATTTTCTTCAGGAAGGGAGTGAAAGAGGTTAACAAACAGGGCCAAGAGGTGAGTTTTCAAATAGCAATTACTATATGATTGCTAACCCTTGCCTCATCTTGCCCTGCCGTTGTCATTTAAATTAGTTCCATTTTTTGCTTCCAGGCAAACATTAGTTGATGTAATCTGGTATAAATAAAAACAAACATTAATGCTTTAATTTTTTTGAAGGTGATGTATGATTATGAAGACAAGATTAATCAGGCTGTCTTTCCCGGACTTCAAGGCGGACCGCACAATCACACAATTACTGGCTTAGCTGTTGCACTGAAGCAGGTTTGACGTTGACATTTCATTGAAATTTTTTCGAAGTGAGATTTTAAATATAAAACCACTCAATGCATTTATATACGGGGAAACAGATTCAGGCTTTGCCCAATTATTAGAATGAACTTTTCTTGGTACAAAAGTCACCAGAGATGCCAAGTGGTCTTTGAAGTGCTCAAACTAGAAAATATAAATTGTTTGATCTAAAGGCAAACCAATTTGTTGATGGTTAATAATCTGAGTAGTTTGAATGGATCATTCTGTAAATGGTAAGTATACAAGACTCTGGCAGGTTAAAATTGACCTAGGCTTTAAGTTCTTTGATTCGGCTTTGACATTCAAGGAACATATTCTTGGATCTAAAAGAGATCTACACGAGCCAAAAATCAAAAATAAAATTTATGCAGTATACTAGGGTGTAACTGGAGCAATATTTAAGAGGACTTACATTTAATGGCTGCAAGAAAATGTTTTCTACACGCCCACATAGGATTCAGATCCTTTTGTATCCTTTTCCATACCCATAATTGCAATTACTAAGCAAAGCATGCCATTTTACTTGGAATTGTTTGGTCCAAATAGTAACTGACATAAGTCTCTTGGGCATGTTCTCTTACACTTTTGTGACTGTAGGCAACAACCCCAGAATACAAAGCCTACCAAGAGCAAGTCCTCAGTAATTGCTTGAAGTTTGCACAGGTATTATTCAATGACATCTTGGGACCTGTAACTGAAGCAATCTTGTGCATACCAATCTTTTGTGGTTCAGAAAACGAACTTTTCGGCCAGCATGATACTTCAAATTGCTGTAGATTGTCTGACATTTACACTTCATATGCTACATAATGCTGAAATTTAACCAATCTTGCAGACTTTGACTGAGAAGGGCTATGATCTTGTTTCTGGTGGAACCGAGAACCACTTAGTTTTGGTGAATTTAAAAAGAAAGGTAAATGAAGAAAATTCTCTAGTGAACAGCTTGGTAACCTTCATGTTCCAAAATTCTGTCTGAGATATTGTCCAACCTTATGGGTAGCTAGTGCTTGGTGGCCGTTTCTGACAAAGTTGACAAAGATATTCTACTATTTAGCTGTGTTTAAAGACTGTTAGTTGTGCTAATTATACATAAAGAAAATATTGGTATCTAATTGTTGTGTTTCTACTAAGCTTTTATCTTGGAAAGAGGAAGATGCCACTTTTTATTTATGATTATTCTTTCTACAGGGTATTGATGGTTCCAGGGTTGAAAAGGTGTTGGAAGCTGTTCACATTGCAGCCAACAAAAACACTGTTCCTGGAGATGTGTCTGCCATGGTTCCTGGTGGCATCAGGATGGGTACAGGCTCCTTGCTTGATTAGTTTTTGCTTGTCTGGTCATGTTATAACTGACTCTCATGACAAACTTGTCTCTCAGGAACTCCTGCTCTCACTTCAAGGGGATTTGTCGAAGAGGACTTTGCTAAAGTTGCTGCATTCTTTGATGCTGCTGTGAAGTTAGCTTTAAAGATTAAAGCCGAAACCAAAGGTTCCAACATGATCATATGTCATTGCCCAAGCACGCAATACACATGGATACATATATTCTATACATCTTGACTCGTTTGTGTTGTCTCCTTTTACTTCTTGGAAACATCCATCTTTTTTGTATGTGTTAATGTGTTGGGAACATGCACAATTCATCATGCTCACTGCGTCGAGATTGTTTAGACTCCACTTATACTTGAAGACTTGCACTCTCTGATTCAAATGACCATATGCATGGTTAATCTCAAGCATGCATAGTGCTAAAATTTCTGACTTGTGGAGCATGCTGGTTTTTCCTGTGACCCAGGGACAAAGTTGAAGGACTTTGTGGCCACGTTGCAGTCCAGTGATCCCATCCAATCCGAGACTACAAAGCTCCGGCATGAGGTGGAGGAGTATGCAAAACAGTTCCCAACTATTGGATTTGAGAAAGAAACCATGAAATACAAAAACTGAGGAAGAAGTTCTACATGCCAGGTACTGTCTTCTTGAGGATTATAGGAGCTATTATATAAAATGTCTGAAGCTCTGATTGTTAGTCTGTAAGATTGTTTAGTAAGAACTGCTAATTCAAATATTTTTCTCCTTAGTGGCACACGACGAATCTCTAAAACGTTCTGATTCTTTATTCATCATTTGTTTGTGGGAACAGGTAGCAGAATCGAAGATCAAATAATTTTACTACTTAGTTAATTGGGGATGAAGTTATATGTTGACTGTATATCAAGGATCTTTGAGATAACGGAGTGGTCATGTGGGCTTACTCCAAATGGTCACAGGCTCAAACCTCATCCCCTCCCAAAAAAAAAGAAAGATGTAATTTACTATCTTCATATGTATAAACTATAAAGTACTCCAGCAAAATGTTAATTTCCATATTCGCCCGAAGTGTATATGTACATTACCTGAGGCTCTATAACGCAATGAACTTGCTGTTGATTTCAATAAAGTTACTTTATGCATAAGCATAATGGTTTAAACAGACTTAAATCTTTGGGACTAGGTCCGAGTTCAAGGGATTAGTAGACATAAACCTGAATATCTTTTACCCTTGTTCAATTCCCTAACATTTAAAAATTAGATACATAACCCATCTATGTTTTTGAATGTTAGATTTTCCATCTAAATTGACAGGAATGCCATACAAGCTCGACCAAAGTGGTCTAGGCCNCTAGGTCCGAGTTCAAGGGATTAGTAGACATAAACCTGAATATCTTTTACCCTTGTTTAATTCCCTAACATTTAAAAATTAGATACATAACCCATCTACTTTTTTGAATGTTAGATTTTCCATCTAAATTGACAGGAATGCCATACAAGCTCGACCAAAGTGGTCTAGGCCTGGCTGAAATATATTTCCTCGAATTTTTTATTTCTAAATGACCAAAATGCCACTCAAACCAGTTTAGGATGAAGAGAGAATGGGACTGGTTCTGCCATGCAATAAACTCTCCAACAAAAGCAATAGTGAATCTTGTTCACCAGTCTAAAAAAGCTTCTCCTCTCTCTCTAGAAATCAGTCACCAGTGCAGAAGATGACANGTCTAGGCCTGGCTGAAATATATTTCCTCGAATTTTTTATTTCTAAATGACCAAAATGCCACTCAAACCAGTTTAGGATGAAGAGAGAATGGGACTGGTTCTGCCATGCAATAAACTCTCCAACAAAAGCAATAGTGAATCTTGATCACCAGTCTAAAAAAGCTTCTCCTCTCTCTCTAGAAATCAGTCACCAGTGCAGAAGATGACAAGAAGTTGCTGGGGTTGTGTTTCGGATCCGAATTGTGTTTACCAGCGCCCTTTTCCTTTCTTTCCCTCTTCATTCTCTTCTCTGTTCAAATCCTCTTCTTTCCTTCTCTCTATATTGTTGGCTTCAATAGGTGGATGTAAAAGTCTTATATTTATCACGAGTCTTGGGTTCAATTCAAGCACGTTTGAACACATTGCTATCCGTTTTTTTTCTCCAATTCAAGCACCAGGGGGTTATGAGAGATGTGAAGATCAATGTTAAAGAGGGTAGAATTGCCATTTTTGCGTTTTTGTTAATGGAGTTACCAATTTCATTTTGATATAGAAACATAGGGGGGTTTTGTATCTATTTTTAAACGGTAGGGAGGTAATCCGTTTCTGGTTCTGACCACATTGAGGAGAAAATATACGGTGCTTGGTGGGTATCAAGCTGGCATGCTTATTTGGTACTCGTTGAGATACATGCAGGGGCGGAGCCGGACATCTTATCCGGTGGGGGCAATCTAAATTATATTAATATTAAATTTTAAAATATTCACAAAAGTATAGTTTTATTAATAAAACACCAGTTAAAGACGCAATTTATATACATGAACGATAAACAAAATGAGCCAACAAAAAAAAACCTTATTATAGATTTATCTATAAGACATAATAAAAAAAATTTGAACCGCAAAATTGGGCTCAATTATATATTAAATTTTAAGAAAAANATAGTTTTATTAATAAAACACCAGTTAAAGACGCAATTTATATACATGAACGATAAATAAAATGAGCCAACAAAAAAAAACTTTATTATAGATTTATCTATAAGACATAATAAAAAAATTTTGAACCGCAAAATTGGGCTCAATTATATATTAAATTTTAAGAAAAATTTTTATAACTAATTCAAAAATTAATTTGTTCAATCACAAACTTAATATTCATCATTAAATTTTATCAAACAATCGAAACTAACTTACACTATAATTATTCTAGTAAATTAAACCTAGATATATGAAATACTTAACTTATCACAATAAAACTATTCAAACTACCAAATCAAAATAATTTAGTCTAATTATAATGGAGGACTACAAGTCCCAATTTCAATTCTACGAATAAAAATAAAACAAATGAGACGATTACAAGTCCTAATTTCAATTCAACATATAAAAATAAAATACTAAAGAGGACTACAAACTCAAATATCAATTAAATATATGAAAAAATAAATCATAGAAGAGGACTACAAGCCCCAATTTTATTTCAACATAGAAAAATAAATATAAGACTACAAATCCTAGTTTCAATTCAATAAATACAAAATAAAACATAAGAGATGATTACAAATCCCAATTTTATATTTTCAATTCAACATGTAACAAATAAAATACAACAGAAAGCTACAGGCGCTAATTTTAATTCAACATTTAAAAAATAAACCACAAAAGAGGACTACAAATCCTAATTTTTNAAATCCTAGTTTCAATTCAATAAATACAAAATAAAACATAAGAGATGATTACAAATCCCAATTTTATATTTTCAATTCAACATGTAACAAATAAAATACAACAGAAAGTTACAGGCACTAATTTTAATTCAACATTTAAAAAATAAACCACAAAAGAGGACTACAAATCCTAATTTTTAATTCTAACATATAAACATCAAACAAAGAAGAGGATTACAAGCCCTAAATTTAGTACGATGTATAAACATAAAACAAATAAGAGGGCTAACATATTTCGTAACATATTAGTTAATATTTAAATGCTCAAATTTTTGATATTATCTTTTATTGATATTTACAAGTGAGACTCATATATTTGTCAAAATAACATAACTACCCTTAAATCTTTTAAAAAAAATTCAACGGGGGCAAATATCTAATAAATTATAAATTTTTTAAAATCATACTTAGTCTCCAAAAATATTTAAAATTCCAGTGGGGTTAGCTATCCCATTGCCCCCACTGTGGATCTGCCACTGGATACCTGGTAACTATGGTGCCCCCAACGACAACATTAAGTCAGAGTCCAGAATGGATGGATGTAGTTTATGACAATTAATTGCAATCCTCTTCGTATCAAAATAACATGCGGAGAGATGCCTAGAAGATATTTTGTCGGGTTTGGCTCCACTATGGTAAGGGAGTTAAAGCATGATATGCGATTTAATTAAATGACATCGTTTCGAGTTGATTTTGAAATTTTTTTTTTGGTTAATTGTACCAGAGTCTCTAAAATATAAAATTTGTCTCATTTTGGTTCTTAATAATTCAATTGCATCATTTTGATCCGTGAAGTATTGAATATATTTCTATGTAGTTCCTCATGTAGACAACGTCCATATTGTTAATAATTTTTTATTATAAACTTGTTATGTGATACCTAAATATGAGTAAAAAATAATAATTTAGATAAATCTTCACCAAATTTCTGCGCAAATTCTAATCAAAAAGTTACCCAAATTATACAGTTTTGATCATGAAATATACAAATTTTGATTAAAAGTTATTCATATTACACATTTTTATCAAAAATTACTCAAATTATTTATTATTCATATTTAGGTATTACATGACAAGTTTATGATTAAAAATCGTTAGTAATTTGGATGTTGTTTGTTTGAGAGACCACATAAAACCATATTCAATACTTCAAGAACCAAAATGATGTAATTGAAATATTGAGAACCAAAATAAGACAAACCTTATACTTTGGGGATTTTCAATACAATTAACCATTTTTAAAACAAAAAAAAAACCTTACCAGAAATGACGTCATTTCTAGTCCATGGCATATCAAAATCAGAGATCACCTTTTCTCCTGTTTTTTCTTTGTCAAACAGTCTTCCTTCTCCCTCATTCCTCAAATAGTTTGTCTTCTCCCTCCTTCTCAAAATTAGAGATCCCCTTTTCTCCTGCTTCTTCTTCGTCAAATGACGGTACAGTATCGAAACCAGATTTCGTGCATATTGTTCATTTTCATTTAATTCTTTCATTCGTTTTTGTTGTTTTCATTTCATGCTTATGTGTATGTTTTATTATTTCATTAATAGAGCTATTTTCTGATTATATAGCTTCTCAGTATATGCATATGTGTGGTTTTTAAGTTTGGGTCAAGACCTTGTTGAGTTAATAATATTTGGCTGGGGGATAATGTGTCTGAAAACAGACCTCATATTGATCTGCAATTTGATACTGAAGAAGATGTTTATGTGTTTTATAATAATTATGGAGGGACTTTGGGATTTAGCGTGATAAAAAAAATTTAGAATAAAAGTTTGAAAGATGGTGTTGTCATTTACAGAAAATGTTTGTTGTAAACAAGTTCAAAGTGTTTGTGATAAAAGAGCGTGGTAAATAAGGAAACCTCTAGCAGAAGCGTGAATAAATTGTCAAGCTCATATGTGCATATCTCTTAATAGAGAAATTGACAAATTTGTTGTGGTGAAATGAGACAACAACCATCGTTTGCAATTTGTTGAATGTATATATATGATGTCACCTCAACAGAATGTTATCGGAACATAAGACATTAATATTGATATGACAGCGGATTGTGGAATATCACTGAAGGTTTCCTATAACTTTTAAGTACTCAGTTGGGAGGAAGGAAAGTCTAAGTTTTACTCGTCAAGACCAAAAGAATTGCCTCCATGAAATGCGACAACTAGGCTTGAGGTAAGGTGAGATGGGTAGTTTGTTGAAGTATTTTCAAACAGAAACAGTTAAAAATCCATCATTCTATTATAGAGTGCAATTGGATGTGAAGGATCATATTACAAATATTTTTTGGGCCAACCTAAAGATGATTATTGATTATGGCAACTTTGGGAATGTTGTCTCATTTGACACTACTTTTAGAACGAACAATGAGTATCGACCATTTGCTTATTTTAATGACTTTAATCATTTTAGGGATACAGTCTTATTTGGAACTGCATTAATGTAGGGTACTCCGAGTGATTCAACACATTGCATTCTTTAAATGATGTTGAATCATTTTTCATGAATGAATTCTTCGATAATGATTTGCGACATATACAATGAGCAACAGTTGTAAGGATTCTTGGGGGATACAAGTTGCTTGTTGAATTAAGAGATACTAGATGCATGGGGGGATAGCAGTTGGAATGACATTTTGTTAGAAATAATGTATTTTGTATTTTTAATAAACATGATCATGATGCATGATTGTGATTATGTGCCTTTTTTTTAATGAACATGATCGTTTTTAATGA